CCCCCACTATCCATTTGCACATGTCATCGTTCATGACATACCAGTAAAAACGTAATAGGACAAGGCACTGAGAGGGGTGTGGGAATGTCTGTCGAGAAATTGTGTTTGTCTGCCATGATGAAAAATTCATCATCTTTGTATTTGGTGCTCAGTCCTCTTAGTATTTACTCAAGATACTTTCTGCGTGAAGTAATTGAGTAATGTTAAACAAGGTTTGTTTGTAAACAAACATATGTAGGGCTCGGTTATAAACAAAGGGGTTGTTTGTACACTTTCTCTCATGCAGATAAGGAATGTACATGTAGAGACAGTTTTTCAACAGATATGGACACATTTAATAACTAGATAGATAGATAGATAAATAGAAAGATAGATGATTAAATATGATTTCTCTTCTCTATATCTCTATATGCATATGCTAGTCAATCCTATAACCTGCCTCGGGCATACAGATGGCCTATTTACATATACGAAAGGGAAAGGGGGGATTACTATCCCCCCCCCCAGCATAACTCATCAACTTATCATAAATGGTTTATGGGGGAAACTATGAAAGAAAAAACTAAAAATAAAAATATCTATTTTTGTTTTAATTTGTTTGTTAATATGTTTTTGGTCAACATCTGGACAATTGGTGCTGGCACGTAAATTTAAAATGCATCTCCCCCCCTTTCCCTCTCCGTACCCCTGTTAGTAAAGCATCCCACTCCCCTCTCAGCTTGAATCTTGAATTTAATATAAATTTTAGAATATTTCTCTAGGGTATGAATATTTGGTAAACAATTAAAGACCCCCCCCCCCCTTCCATTTTAATAAAACCATCTCCTTGTTTTTCTGCCATTTTCACTTAAATCTGTAGTGCCAAAATGAGAAAAGTGTGTTGAGAGAAAAAGAAGAATGGAATTCTAAAAATTCTAAATATTCTTATTTAACATATTCATTTTAAAAACATTAGATCGAGAGAAAGAAGAAAAGAATTTTGAGGGTGAAGGTTAGAGTCAAAATTCTTCAATCCATAGGTTACATTTATTAGTATAAACACGGAACAACTAAACCCAAACCAAACCATAAGCCACACCAAACCATATACATCGGTTCATCTCTTTATACAGCCTAAGATGGGTTCTAGTAAATCAATGTTAGCCCTATACAGATATAAATGGTAAACCATATACTGTCTTCTCAACTGCAAACCATTAATATCTAACCCTGGCCGGGCACTATTATTGAAACGTAGGCTCATAAAGGATATAGAATACCACCCATCTATAGCACCGCCCTCTAACCATTATCATTAATCTTAATACAGGCGTAAGACGTTTAAACAAGAAATCCTCCAATTATTTCAATATTTGGCGCCAAAACTTGGAATAATTGCTAGTTCACGCGCGCTTGTAATACGCCCGGGCGCAAAAAACACGAAATCCTCGGAACAACACAATGATGATCTTTGACGCAAAAATTCTGAAAACCACGAAATGGGTTCGCAAGGGTTGAATGCATTTTTACTTTAAGGCACCACGATCAATACCGAGAATCTAGAAGAAAATAAAAACAGCTGCACAATGCGCGCCGCACCGGAGGGTTTTGAACGGCTGTATAAAGCATACAGAATTTAAAGACGAACGCGTGAGACTCTATTTATTCCAGATTGTTAATCTGTTGTTAATCCGCTAACAGCTGGACATACAAGGTAGGCAGTATTCAAACCAGTGAAAATCTTCGGCTTAATCTGCCTGGACAATACAAAATAAATAATTCTAATTTAATAGGATTTCAAAACCAGACCAGTGTTTGTTCCCCCCACCCCCCCTCAGATCCCATAGGCTTGGCTCAGTTAGATATAGCCAACAAATGACTTGGAATTTTAACATATAAACCTTTTTGTAAAATATACAACAATTAGTAAGGATCCAAAAATTGAACGTGTATAAGAGAAGCGGTTTGTAACACCTTTTTGCGCCCCACGCAATTTCAAAAGGGCTCAATGACAAATGGAATTCAATTTGAGCTTAAAAACTTATTTGAAACCTTTTGCTTGCAAAGCCACGAGCCTTTGAAGTAGAATGATTCGACTTTTTAGTTTTTATCAGACGACAATTAATTCGACGCCGACGTCACAAGGCGGTAACCCACCGCCGTACTCCCCCACTCCCCGTCCCCCACCCATCCACAAAAAATCTAATTTTCTATAAATTGGTAGTTTTTAAATATGCTTTGAATTGGGTGAAGACAGGAAGGAAATGTCACTTTATAAGAAAATGAACAAAAAGTTGAGCGAACCCTTTGCCAGTAAATACCTATAATTTTCCCTCCAATTTCAGGTAACTAAGTACAAAGTTTAAAAAATTCAAATACATTTTTTAAAGTAAGGGGGGGGATTCAGTTAAGCATTTATGGTTAAAAATTTCGGTTAATCAAGCGTCATATTGATAAGTTATTTTTAGCGTAAATAAATAAAATAAAACCATGTATATAACCTATAATTTTGGTGTAGCTGACCCAGTTTAGAAATTATTATCACTACCCCCTGGAGGGTTAACACAGTTACTTAGATAAAGAATTATTATCACCCATTAAACCCAATCAAAAATTAATTATTTAAAAAACCATAAACATTTAAAAGCTAAAAACACTTCAGTATACAAGACGTTTAACATAGAAGCAAGTTTTTATTCTAATTTTTTCATAATTTTAATATTCTGCTTGGAAATTGTTTCGTTGAATATTTGGTAAACAATTAAAGACCCCCCCCCATCACTAAACATTCTTTTGTTAATCAAACACTTATAAATCTCGCGCGTTCAATAGAATAGATAGACAGATAGTCAATAGATAGATAGATAGATAGATAGATAGATAGATAGATAGATAAATAGATAGACATATTCAGATATAGAAAAAGATAGATAGATAGACAGTGTTAATATCAAAATATAAAAAATAAAATATTTATAATACTTGGTTGCAAAGCTAATAGATAGATAGATAAATAGATAGACATATTCAGATATAGAAAAAGATAGATAGATAGACAGTGTTAATATCAAAATATAAAATATTAAATATTTATAATAGTTGGTTGCAAAGCTAATACTTTGATTGTTTAATTTCAAACTTTGCAGCCCTTTCAAGTTAAAACTTAGGCAAATAAAATTAATTATTTAAAACAGCTTGAGCATAATTAATACTTAAATTAATAACTTGAAATGAACTGTAGAGAATAATAAACCGGTTTTTAACTGATAAAAGATCTTTGCTAAAGATAGACAAATTAGCTTGTTTTTCCGTCAAATTATTGCCACAATTTAGCATAAAATTTACACAATTTGGGTTTGCTGCTTGTCATAAAAATCATATTTTGACTGAATGCTTTTTTAACTTTTATGTCAAACAAATTTTTATGTAGATATATTTTTTTTCAAATTTTTAAATAGTTTATTGTGCGTGAGAATTTCGAGTGTTTGTCTGTTTGAAGGGTTGCGTACAAACATACAGTTAGTCTGAGGAAAGGCCTGCCTGGCTTAAGCCTATCTCACTTCTATGTATGTTGTATCTATCTATCATCAATCTACCTGTACATTCATTATATCTACACAAATCTACCTGAATGTCTATCTATTTATCTATCTATCTATTTATTTATTTATCAATTGTTCTTCAAAGCATATATAATTATGTGGTGACATAGAAATGAAGTCTTAAAAAGTCCCTCCCTTTAAACCTGTATCCACCCACGAAGAAGAAAAAAACAAACCTCTTCGTGTTTTGCGATAGTTTCACGACAAAGAGGGATTTTTGAGACAAATGTCGAAGTAGTCGGACTACTGTAGTCCTCTTTAGTCTCACGGACAAACTCCGGCACTGAAATTAGTCCGGGCATTTTGGGTCCAACACTTGCTTCTTACTTCACAAACATTGCGTTATTCTCAGCGTCCTCACACTTTGAGCTGCGTAGCTCGACTAACGTGAAATGCGGGAACGAACTCGGAGACTGCACGACCCGGTCCGACGTCCCAACACACTGGATCAAGTAAACACTAGACGGGACGGGTCAGAATTACACCATCTCTCGTCCTCTCTCTCTCTCTTTGGCAGACATTTAAATATGATAGAAAGATAGATTTTCAACAATGCATTATACACAGATTGTTTATGCAGTGGCTTCGCCAGGTAGATAAAAATAAAAATCAGACTTTAAAGGGACTGTGCAGTTTAATAGAAAGTGACTTGAGTCTCTTCCTAGAGAAGGGCATGTACGATGTACAAAGTCGAAATCATGTTAAAAGCTGTGATAGATCTGCTTTAAAAACAACAATGAAGGAAATTGCCAGAATAAAACACTTTTCAAGAAAAAAAAACGAGAAAGATCTTCCGCAATTTTTTTATCAGATAAAATTTTGAAAAGTATCGTTGAATTCGGACATACGTCCCTCTTAAATAAAAAGAGCAATATACAAATCACAACGACATGCAGTCCACTTCCATTCTTGGGAAAAAAAATAATTTTTCTATAATTATTTATTAGTTTACATCATAAATTTATACATAAAGGTTTTAGTTTAGTTTAGCTTATGCTAAGAGCTCAGCATAACATATTTCATGCCAGATTTTCCACTCTTGAAACATAGAAATCGTTTTAGGATGTTCAGAACAATGCAACACAGATTCAAAGTTAGATAGATAGATAGATAGATAGATAGATAGATAGATAGATAGATCGATAAGTAAATTTTTTTTACCTGAAGAATTTGTCATTTGTCAATAATGCAATTCAAAAATGAAATAAAAGATGAAATAAAAAACAAAAGTAATTGTAATTATTAGACAGAAAAGAAAAAAAAATCGATTTAAAACAATTTATAATGTTTAAATTTAAGATAAATTTGAAAACTTAATCTCTTAGAAAGTAAAATATTTTGAAATTAAAATATTTTGAGCTGAAAACTTTAGAATGGTGGATATCGATATCATTGCTTGATCTCCTCTTGTTATTAATCTCCAGATTAAATATGGCTTGTACTCCTCTTGTTATTAATCTCCAGATTAATAAAAAAAATTGGGATTAAGGATATCCCATTTCTAAAGTTTTCAGCTCTTATAAATTTGTTGATTATTTAAAGAACTAATGAAAAGCTTGAGTTAATGAGCACATTTTTAATTGACTACAAATTAACCAACTATAATGATTCGATTCTTTGAAATAAATAATTAATTTGAGATCTTGAATTTACGGTTTTTATTTATTTTTAATCAAAACTTTTTTTTTGCAATTTAATCTATTAATTTTTTTTTGATTTTCCGTATAGCCTTTTTAAAAATTTGTTCACTTCAATGCTGTTAACCATATCCTTGCTAAGGTACTTGAAAACCAAAGGGGGGGGGCAATTTGACCTCCCTCCCCTCTAACTTCCATGTTTGATGTCCAAATATGACAAATTATACATCATTGGAAAGCTCTTATGCTCTACTCACAGAATCTGCAAAAAAAAGTTTGCAAAAATTGATATTTCTTTTTGCAAAATCCAATTATATAGTAAAACTATTGACAAACAACAATATCGAAAAAATTATAAAATAAGCTTTTTTGAAAAGCTCTTTATCATGCCATTTTAATTATGCAAACAATTTGCTAAATTTTAAATAACCTGACGTGTAATTAAGAAAAACTAAAATTGATTAACCAACTATAATGATTCGATTCTTTGAAATAAATAATTAATTTGAGATCTTGAATTCACGGTTTTTATTTATTTTTAATCAAAACTTTTTTTGCAATTTAATCTATTAATTTTTTTTGATTTTCCGTATAGCCTTTTAAAAAATTTGTTCACTTCAATGCTGTTAACTTTATCCTTGCTAAGGTAATTGAAAACCAAAGGTAAATTTAAAGGGACTGTAAGCGTAATTTTAAAGGGACTGTAAGCGTAATTTTAAAGGGACTGTAAGCGTAATTTTAAAGGGACTTTCCACGCAAAGATGACAATACCCAATTGAAAAATTCATCTCATCAATAATGTGGAAGATATTGTCATTTTATAGGTAGTATTTATTTCTTATAATTTCCAAATGTTTTTCTGCAGTAGAAATGCGCAAGTCACTTTTGTGGAGAAAAACAATTGGAAATAATTAGTGTTTCAAAGTTATGAACATTGTTACCTAATTCATACTTGATTTGACAAAGCTTTGAAGAGTAAAGTTGCTAATTATACATTGGCATCTTGGCATGGAAGGTCACTTGTAATTACGCTATTAGTCCTCTATTAGTATGCATCAACATCTGATACAGAGTCAATTTGACCTCTCTCCCCTCTAACTTCCATGTTTGATGTCCAAATATGACAAATTATACATCATTGGAAAGCTCTTATGCTCTACTCTCAGAATCTGCAAAAAAAAAAGTTTGCAAAAATTGATATTTCTTTTTGCAAAATCCAATTATTTAGTAAAACTATTGACAAACAACAATATCGAAAAAATTATAAAATATACTTTTTTGAAAAGCTCTTTATCATGCCATTTTAATTATGCAAAAAATTTGCTAAATTTTAAATAACCTGACGTGTAATTAAGAAAAACTAAAAATGAGCAAATTTCTTTTGACGGCTTGTATGCAAATAGTTTGCTAACATTTCTTTGCAAGACTTGTGCAATCCCCTTCCTTATGTCATAGGCTTTCCAAAAAGCTAAAGCAGAAAGTGGGTCAAAACAAAGATTTAGTTTGTGACAGGGTATCTAGGAAATATCAGAAAATGTCAACAGCCTCAGACCACTGAAGCTTTTTCTTAAGGAGGGGGTAAATAATGTCCTATGTCCAACTGGCTAACCCCTAAACCCCAAAAATACTGTCTGCATGCTTTTAAATAATCAAAAAAAACTTTATTCCTGAATTCATAAAAACTCTGTGTATTCCTGAAATCATAAAAAACTCTTTGGATTTCTGAATCCTTAAAAAACTCTCTGTATTCCTGAATCCATGGAAAACTCTTTATATTCCTGAATCCATAAAAAAACTCTTTGTTTTCCTAAATCCATGAAAAGCTCTTTGAATATCTGAATCCTTGAAAAACTCCTTGTATTCCTGAATTTATGAAAAACCATGTGTATTCCTATTCCTGAATCCTTGAAAAACTCTTTGCATTCCTTAATCAATGAAAAACTCTCTGAATTCCTGAATCATTGATAAACTCCTTGTATTCCTAAATCCTTGAAAAANAGATAGATAGATAGATAGATAGATAGATAGATAGATAGATAGATAGATAGATAGATAGATAGATAGATAGATAGATAGATAGATAGATAGATAGATAGATAGATAGATAGATAGATAGATAGATAGATAGATAGATAGATAGATAGATAGATAGATAGATAGATAGATAGATAGATAGATAGATAGATAGATAGATAGATAGATAGATAGATAGATAGATAGATAGATAGATAGATAGATAGATAGATAGATAGATAGATAGATAGATAGATAGATAGATAGATAGATAGATAGATAGATAGATAGATAGATAGATAGATAGATAGATAGATAGATAGATAGATAGATAGATAGATAGATAGATAGATAGATAGATAGATAGATAGATAGATAGATAGATAGATAGATAGATAGATAGATAGATAGATAGATAGATAGATAGATAGATAGATAGATAGATAGATAGATAGATAGATAGATAGATAGATAGATAGATAGATAGATAGATAGATAGATAGATAGATAGATAGATAGATAGATAGATAGATAGATAGATAGATAGATAGATAGATAGATAGATAGATAGATAGATAGATAGATAGATAGATAGATAGATAGATAGATAGATAGATAGATAGATAGATAGATAGATAGATAGATAGATAGATAGATAGATAGATAGATAGATAGATAGATAGATAGATAGATAGATAGATAGATAGATAGATAGATAGATAGATAGATAGATAGATAGATAGATAGATAGATAGATAGATAGATAGATAGATAGATAGATAGATAGATAGATAGATAGATAGATAGATAGATAGATAGATAGATAGATAGATAGATAGATAGATAGATAGATAGATAGATAGATAGATAGATAGATAGATAGATAGATAGATAGATAGATAGATAGATAAAGAGATAGATAGATAGATAGATAGATAGATAGATAGATAGATAGATAGATAAAGAGATAGATAGATAGACAGATAGATAGATGGATAAATAAATAGATATATAGATAGATAGATAGACAGATAGATAGATAGAAAACAAACGAAATTATGACATTAAATTTAAAAATAGACATTAACCCTAGCCTAACAATTATCTTATATTCTGTAATGAATTCACAGATCAATTAAGATCAATTATTGTTTACGCCATTTTAATGAACTCTAGAAGGGTTTCTCAATGTAAACAGTGCAGTGGAACATATACAATTGAGGAGTGTGAAGACGACTGTGATACTTAATGTATGGATTTATAAGTATTATAGAATACGGCAAATGTAAAGTTTTTACAGGCATATTTCTCTTTGCTAATTTTCAAGCTAATGATTTAACTACAACATCAAACATACATATCACTCTGGGCCGTAGTAAATTTAAATTCGAACAGGACCTGCCCAGTTTGTACCGGCCTGCCAGATAACTGCGTGTACTGACCCAATCCTATAACCTTATTCTGTACAGTACGTCGCCCTAACATACGACAGGGGTCAATTTTCTTGGCAACTATGACAACTCCCATAGCGCGTTCAGACTTTTTACAGTACCCGGCCTAATCCTACCCCTATTTGACCGACCCCACTGGCTTAGTCCACCGTGACATAAGATTTCTGAAATGTAGAATTTTTTTTTTAAACAGAAAACTTGATTCTCATTTTGCCTTATATTGACTAATTGAATATGTTCTAATGAACGTTTTTATGTATAAACACGTGATAAATATATTTGCAGTTGTTTGA